TTTCGTTATTTCACCACTTATGTTTAAATTATATCTCTCCTGAAATAACATTAAAGCTTCTTCATAATTAGTCAACGAAAACTCTGAACTATTAAGGTAGCCAAATGTTTCGAGATGTTTTATTACAACATCTTTATCAGTTAAATTATTTGATTTTACCAAAATTATACTTAGCAGAAATATTAATAACGATTTAAACCCCATTATCAATACTGCAAACAATATTAAGACTGATCACCGAAAAAGATTTCTGGACAATAAATAGACTTGTCGGGACAAGTTGGCGTGACGTCAGCCAAAATGGTACCAAAAATAAAAATTTACAACAAAATAATAAATCCTTATCTCCAAATAACTGATACCACACCGCATTAAAACCCCCGAAACTTGTCGAACAACAAGTCGGGACAAGTCGGATGACGTCAGCAATTCAAAATGGCGTCAAAAATAAAATTTACAACAAAATATTAAATCCTTATCTCCCCCCGGATATCAAACCACTGTTAAGTCACGCAGCAAATGCATATCGCTTATCTTTTGCATCTCCAGTAATACCAAACTAATACGCTAACCACAAACAACCAATATGCATATCGCTTATCTTTTGCATCTCCAGTAATGCCAACTAAACACACATCCCCCGCCCACTTTAAACCACAACACCAATAGCTAATATCTATCAAACATGGCCGCCATCCGCCAGCCGCCATCCGCCAACAACCCACCAATAGGCTCACTTACGCTTATCAGTTGAGGGCGTTGCCCAAATGGCTGGGGGCGCCACCATCGAGAACCGCCTACTGCTAACGTCACGTAGCGTCTGGGTCACTTCCGGTCGAGAACATACATAGTGTATCTATCGCTTTAGCTCGTTTTCTTTTCCTAGTCTTGCGTATGAAACATTTAATCAAACAATAGAAAGTATTGCTCAAAGTAGTAAAATAAATGCTATTTTTAACTCAAACAGGGGTATAACTTATATCATTATCAATTATTGGGTTGCTGAAATTGAAGAATTCGGTTTAAATGTAGTTAATAGGGGGAATATAAATAAGTTTTTCCCAGGAATTCCTCCAGATATATCTTCAGCATTTCGCTATACAAATGGTAACATTTATTTTTTTAGAAAAACTTATTTTATGAATATAACGAATTTTCGGGTAAATTAATAAGAGCAGGAGTTTTTGATTGGAGTTTATTTGGAATAAATTGCCCGAATGAAACAATTAAAAAACATATTAACAACCCTTTCAACATACTTTAATTGATAATTATAAAAGCTTAACTTTAATAAAAAAAATCATTTCAATGTTGACTTTTAAGCATAAAGGTAGTGGTTTATTAAATTGTGCAATTAACAACCTACCCTTTGAGCTTCACGTACCCTCTTACCAATTTTGTGGGCCAGGTACTAAATTAGATAAGAGAATTCAAAGGGTATGAATCCCTTAGACGCTGCATGTAAAGATCACGATATTGCTTATTCAGAAAATAAAAGTTTGGCAGAAAGGCATAAGGCAGATTGGATTTTGGAAAATAAAGTTTGGTTGATAAAATAAAAAAACATGTTCAAGATTTAGATATATCCAATAAAAATTCACTTAAAAAACTGCCGCAACGGCACTTAAAGCAGCTCGGGTGATTATAAAGAAAGCCGGGGGTCGTAAAAATATTAAGGTGCCTAGGATAATTTCATTTGAATCCCACAAACAAGGAGGATTTTTACCCCTTTTACCATTATTAGGAGTTTTGGGGGCCATAGGATCATTGGCTGGAGGTGCAAGCGCCGTAGCCAAAACGGTGATAGCCACAAAAAATGCTAAAAAGAAACTTGAAGAATTAGGTCGACATAATAGGGCTATGGAGGAAATTGGGAAAAAAGGCTCGGGATTATATTTAAAAATGAATGTCAAGGGAGAATATGGTCTTTTTTTAAAACAAAAAAACTACCAATAAAGCTACCCAATAGATCCCTATATGATTCTGAATTGGTAAAATATGCACAAAAGCTTAAAATACCCTATTTTAGAGGGGTTTTTATGCGAGACGCTTTACCAAAAATAAAAAATAAAAATGAATCTGCAATCTTAAATTTAGACATTTCGAAAAATTTGGGTACACATTGGGTAGCTTATACTAAAAGAAACAATTCTGTTATTTATTTTAATAGTTTTGGCGGTCTTAAACCGCCAAAAGAATTAGTAAATTATTTAGGAAAAAATGTTAAAATTAATTATAATAATGATTGTTTTAAAAACTTTAAACAAATTAATTGTGGCCATTTATGTTTGTGGTTTCTTTATAAAAATAAATGAGATAAGAAAATATGATTAGTCTATTATTAACCGTTGTTTAAAGATAATGTCCCAGCTATTTACATTAAAAAGTAATAATTATGTTTTAAGTATCGATTTTACAAATTCAATACAACTTAATTCAAATTTTGACTACGGTATAGCATTAACCCATTAGTGCTCACTGGCAACCACAGTTGCTTTTTAAATAGTATTTACCGACTTAAAAGTAAGGTTATGTTATGTTTACCGGTAGTTTTATGTAGCGTGAATATTAGTCTTATGTAAATTTGTGACAAAACGAGGTTATTTGGCTTTGTTTATTATTTAAGCTACATATATTATTACTCAATTTCTGAGCTACGAACAACAATCTATAATATGTAAGTTAACACATAAACTATATAACATTTTATATGTTTTTATTTAAAATGCATTATGTTAACAGTCAATACTAGACAATGCAAACGTATTTTGTATTGATATTTATCATTGTTATGTTCTATATCGTTACAAACATACCTGCAAATTTAGTTGCCAATGAGCACTTAAGGTATCTTTATTTTATTTTTCAGGTCTAATGAATCCGATGATAATTTTTACACAGTGGATGATATTTTTAATTTATGCGTGCTGGAATATGGAAAAACAGGGATAAGTAGAATCACCTCCATTGGAATTATACCTCCATATGAACCCCCACAAGCGGAAACAGATGATGATTTATCAGATGACGAGACAAAAGCAAATTTGACACATCTCCCTAGCAGGATTTTAAAATCGCAGTGGTGGATTTAGAAAATTTAGACCTAGAAAATAATAATATCATAGAAAATGAAACACTGTCCATTCCATCAACTTCAAAAGAGCCGCCAAGAACGACAAAAAGCAAAATAAAACCATCTCAAACTTCTTGGTCAAAAAATAAACAAAATACTTTTGTGTTACCCAATAAAACTCGACAGCACGAACCGACCGTTATTGACTTTCTTAAAAATACTGTAATATCTCCATTGGACTCTTTCAAACGATTTTTTTCTGACAAATTAGTCAAGCATATTGTTGATCAAACAAATTTATATGCTGGACAAAAGGGAAATCACAGTTTAAAGGTTTCTTCTGATGAAATAAATGTTGTTTTGGGTATTATGTTATTATCAGGATATCATAGACTGCCGATAAAAGAATGTATTGGCAAAATGAGCCAGATTGCAAAGTTTCAATAATTACTGAGGCAATGAGTCGTCGAAGATTTGAAGAAATTCTTCGATACCTTCATTTAAATGACAATTCCGGGATTTTAGAAAATGATAGATATTATAAAGTAAGACCCCTCTTTGATAGTTTAAATGATGCATTTAAGCAGGTCCCATCAGAAGAGACGGTTTGTATAGATGAAAGTATGGTACCATATTATGGTAGACATCCTACCAAACAATTCATAAGGGGTAAGCCCATTCGGTTCAGTTTTAAATTATGGGTTATGGCTAAACCAAATGGCTATATTTTGCATGCTGAACATTATTGTGGGGCCCATACCTACCTGACACTGGTCTAGGTCAGGGTGGCGATGTTGTGATTGGTCTGATATAACACACTAATTTATCAGCAGGAACAAAAATTTATTTTGATAATTTGTTTACCTCAGTAGCCTTATTGGAAAAGAGAAATTGGTGGAACAGGCACACTAAGGGAAAACGGAGTTGGGAAAAACATGAATTTGCCAGAAAAAAATATATTTAAAAAATCTACAAGGGGTGAATCTATTACAGTTTCCAACGGCAATTTAACATCAACAAGATGAAATGATAATGCAGTTGTGACAGTGTTATCAAACTGCGATAAAGAAGAACCTATGAAGGTTGTTCAATGATACAATAGAACTGAAAGAAAGAAAATAAATATTCAAATGCCTAATTTGATATCACAATATACTGCAAACATGGGTGGGGTGGATTTAAACGACCAGTTTACATCGCAATATAGAACCAAAATACGAATAAAAAAATGGTGGTGGCCTTTGTTTGCTTGGGGTGTGGATGAAAGCTGCGTTCAAGGATGGTTGTTATACAGAAGCTTAGGACATGATATTTCATATTTGCAGTTTAGAAGACAAGTTGTATTACAACTACTAAATTTATATGGAACACCTAATTTGAGACCTGGTCCATCAACATCATATTCGCATTCGGCAGCAATAGTCAATATAAAAAAAGATTTAAAGGGACATGTTACAGTAAGAGGGCAGTCAAAGTACAGACGGTGCAAAATGTGTAGCAAGCGTACTATTTATTTATGTGTTAAATGTAATATTCCACTTCACCCTGACTGTTTTCAATCTTTTCATATATGAGTCGTCTAGAATCAAAACCAGCTATCTAACATAGTGATTTTCACTTTTCTGTGGTTTTCAATAGCACTTTTTCATGCCATTCGAATGGTGTATATAGTTTAATTCAAACCTTGCTATTTATCGTATAAATTGCTTGTTAAAGATTGCTGTGAGTTTCAAAAGCCGCTATAATTCCGATGGATCCGATTCAAAGCCCGCTATAACTATTCTGACCAACCAGATGTGTCTATATTTTTACGCGCTTCCTTTTCATGTCAAATTTGACATGACATGACTTTCGAGTCAATGAGAATAAGATCGCTTGTTATAACTGTTGTTTTTTTATTAATGTGTGGTGATATATAGAGTGAATTATGAGTGATTGTACACAAACAATTGAATCTACAACACTAGAAAATTCGAGAAAGAGACCCAGGCAGCCGGCTAAGTGGAAATGTATTATTAACAAGAAATCAAGGTAAGAATCTTGTTGTTTAGGTTGTAGTGGTTAATTCTTTATCAATATGCCACATGTTAATAATGAATGGTAATTATTGTGTAAAGTAATATGCTGTTATTGTTACAGATATTCTCCTCAGTTACCGCAATACCCGGAATGCAACCATAATAAGAAATTGATGCAATGCAAACAACTCACAATGGCAGATATTCTCCACTTCCATAAAGCATTATATCAATCAGATAACAAGATTGATCAAGATAACTTTATAATTAAATTTTGTTCAGTCTACAAACCTAAACGCCCTAATCCATATCTGAATGAACCAAGGAAAACCCTGACATCTAAATACTTCATTATAAAGAAAAATGATGGTATAATGATACCAGTATGTAGACAGACCTTCTTAAAAGTACTTGGAATTAAAAGAGATAGGGTGCAAGGAGTACTAGCGCGACATTTTCACGCAGATGGAAAGACTGCGAAAGAAAACAGAGGCGGTGATCATAAAAGTCATAAGAATACCGAGCGGAAAAGGAAGGTTCAAGCTATTGCTATTGTGGTAGGATCTTCAACAGATAAACTGCAGAAACAAAACGTTCATTGTTACCACTGGAACGAATCGCAGCTTCCAACAGGGAGTAATGAAATTGCTAGTGCTATTTACCACAGGTTAGTCAATACAGATATGGAAAACTTTACTACCCTCCGACTCATTGCCGATGGGTGTGGTGGTCAAAATAAAAATACCACACTCATAACAATGCTAATGAAATGGTTTTAACAAGCGTATTGAATCTGTAGAAATAATTTTTCCCATAGTGGGACATTCTTTCATACCTCCCGATAGAGTTTTTGCACAAATTGATAAAAAAAATACGCAAGAAAGAGGTGATAGTACAACCTGAAGAGTATGTAAACCTTATTGAGGAAAACTTCACTGCGTGGAACTTAGCAGACCCTCAGACAGTTACTGTATACGACTGGCGTAAAGAATCGAAAAAGTATCTGAAACCACCTGGATCTTGGCATTTCCAGTTTAATCCTTCAAAAAGATTTTTCCTGAAGAAGACCAAAAATGGTGTCAGCGTCCAAGGCGAAGTTAATTATAAAAGTGAATGTAGTATTCCGCGGGCTGTCAACAAAAAAGGGAGTGGTACTCCTAACTCTATCAAACCCTCAGTAGTAACAGTGGGTAAAAAAATTAATGACAAAAAGTTAAAGAGTATCGATGGACTACTAAAGAAGCACTACGGAACGAATAAACCTTGGAAAGATCTGGAACAACTCAACTTCTACAAAGATTTAATTCAAAATTTTGATGAGAATAATCTCGAAGAACCAATTCCAGAAGATGATTTTTCATGTGAATATGCTGAAGAAATTTATTTAGCTTTTTAAAAAATTAATAATAAAGTTTTTATTCAATAAACATTATCTTTTAGATGACAAATCTGCTCGAATTTAATTTCAAAATCCGCTATAATACAAAGTTAACATCAAAATCCGCTATGTGAAATTTTTGCTTACTGCTTACTCATTTACCTTATGATTTTTTGTTAATTTTTTATTATTACAACATGTACTTATTGCATATCTATTAGTTCTGGTAAAAAAGTCACAAATAAATCCTAACAATTTGACGCCACAGTTTTTTGCGATTCCTAAAAAGTTATCCGAAACGCGAATAGCGGGTTTTGATTCTAGACGACTCATATAAAATAAAGGCATTTTAGGAAATAGTGTTTTTTTGTCCTTAAGTGCTCATTGGCAACTCTAGTTGCCATGAAATTCCTCCATATGTATTTATATAGAAATTTTTTATATATTTTTTTCATGTTGCTGGCACCCTATAGAACCGATATTTATAATAAAATTATATTTTTTAAGACTTTTTAGTTCTGAGCACTAATGGATTAATAGGGTTTTATTCCTATAACAGTATCTCTAATATTGAAAAAGGTGAAAATACATTTTATTATAAAGACGCGAATGTGGATAAGAAAATAATAATACCAACTGGTACTTATGAAATATTAGATATAGAAACTTATCTAAGACAACAAATTATTCCTGACACCGTTAAAAAGGACGATTATGATAAATATTTTTCACTTAAACCAAATAATAATACTTTAAAGTGTGAAATTCAAAGCAATACGTTGAAAATAGATTTTTCATAAGCAGATGGTATAGGGAAAATATTAGGATTTACTAAGCGTACTTTAACGCCGGGTAAAAAACACGAATCGGATCTCCCAGTTCGAACCATTCACATCGATTGTAATATATCTACAGGTGCCTATTATAATTATCTACCAACACACACAATTTACGAATTTTCAGTAGACGTTGATCCAGGCTATACAATCAACGAAATTCCGCGAAACCTTATATATTTATTTATATTATTATATTATATTATATTATTTTTAATAATAAATAAACAGGAAATATCTAATATTACTTTGGTAATTTTAAACCAAGATTTTAAGCCAGTTAATTTTCGTGGAGAGGAAGTTATAGTTCGTTTGGAATTAAAAAAATTATCATAATAGGTTTAATATTTAACAATTATTATAAAAATCCCAGCACAAGCCATTTGAAATCAGTTGACAGCAAACGCTTGCCTAGTTCAAACAACCTAACTTATTCAAATCGACTTTTTCTACAATCATTAGGATATAATGTCATCATTAGACCAAATCTTCGACATCTATCGAAAGCCACAGTTTAGTGAAACAATTCAAAAGGTTGACTACAGAACTTATTACCCCCATGTTAAATCTTTTAATAATAATGATGTTATAGAAATTTCAATAAATCAAAGAGATTCCTGGTTGCTTATGCACGATGCAGCTCTATTAATAGATGGTAAATTGGAAATAACTAAAAGGGATGGCGAGGCAGCCCTAGTAAATAATTTTGGGGCATTTTTGTTTGACCGAATTTCTTATGAAATAAATGGAAAAGAAATTGATGGTATACGCGACCCAGGTATTGTGAGCACAATTAAGGGCTATCTTAATTACAGTAGCGATGATTCAAACCATTTAGGCATTGCAGGGTGGAATTACCCAGATCAACCAATAGTCTCAACAATAACCAAAATTTCAACTTTTAATATACGTATACCATTATATCATTTATTTGGTATATTTACATCTGGCAACATGGGTAGCCAAGACGAAATTCTAAGTAAACTTAATAAACTAAGAAAAAATGAGTTAATAGACATAATCATTCATAAAAAAGTGCCAAGTGAGTGCAATCTAAGTGCTGGTGTTATAAAACTTGTCGAATCGTGTAAAAACGGTGAACATTCTCAAAGTTCATGTGATAAACCTTGCACCGGTTCAGACCATAAACTAGTGTTAATAAACCTTGAAAATGAGCTTAAAATAGCACAGTTAAGCTGGATGCTCAGACAAGACTGATTATGGAACTAGAAAGAACTATAAACAATCAGGAATACATAACTAAGCTGTTAAAACAAGAGAATGAAAGTAAGGTTAGCGTTGTTGCCAAACCTAAGAAAATTTCCCAAAAGGATTATGTAAATATTAAACAATCGATTAGTAACATAAAGGATTCAGTTAGCATGGAAAACAACGAGGAAGAAAATTTAAATAAAAAGGAACCTAAAAAAACCCCCCGATAAAACAACAAATGGTTGAAGGTCAAATAGAAGTGGTTAGTGGTCCTCCTGAAAACACTTTTGCTGCTGCAGTTAGGCGTGCTTGGTTGTATGTAGGAAAAGTTGCAGAAGGTACTAAATCAACGTAGCTGGAAAATGACCTAAAAGGAAAATTCCCAAATAATAAATTTGATGTTGAAGAACTCCCCAGACATAAAAATGCTACCAGTCTAGCCTTTAAGATTGGAGCTGATATAAATCTTATTGAAGAACTCAATAAAGGTTCAACATGGCCAAAAGGTGTAGTGGTAAAAAAGATTTTATTTTTTTAGATCAAACCAAAAGTCCAAAGGAGTCACTTTTAATTAATAATACAACTTACAAAAGACAATTTTTTTAAAATAAAAATTTTTATTTAAATATTCTCCATATAAATATGCAATCTTTAAAAAACAAAATAAGTCAGTTTGAGGCCTTTTTAATTGATATATGTGTATAAGTGAACACTGGCTTTCCAGTTCAGAAATTCAAACTCTTAAGGTACTAAATTACACTGTTGCATCTGCCTTCTGTAGAACAGTATTTTCTTATGGAGGGGATTTAATACTCCTAAAAGAAAGTATCAAATTCAAACAAATTTAAAAAATTTCAAACCTGTCAATTGAAAAAGAATGTGAAATCTGTTTAGTCCAAATTAACAGTCCAGATTTAATTATAATTTGTATATATATAGATCACCTATTGGAAGTATACATAATTTTATTGAAGTTTTAAATCGGATTTTATTATTATTAAACAAGAATAAAATGGTAGTTTTATGTGGAGATTTTAATGTTAAATTCGGAACTTCACAAAAAGAATGTACTTTAGTGTGTAATTCCCTTTTATCTTTTGGTTTTAAATATTTAATTCATTCAAATACTCGTTTAAACAACTGCTTAGATATTGTTTTTGTTAATTTTAATTTAGACCTATGCTCAGCATCAACCTTAAACGCTTATACAGGGATGGTAAAGTGCTCTTAGGCCGTTTAATAAATAAAGACAAATGCATTATGAGACGTGGGAGTGGTGGAGTGACGTAAGAGTAGTGGGGCAGGCCAGACCGCGCCGCGCCAGGGCTGGACGCTCCCGTGTACGAGTTTTGGTTCATGCCGCGCATGACGCCACTTGATGAGTAGTTGCCGTGCGAATACACGAATAATAGTAATAATATCAAGAACATAGAGAAATATCTGGACATAGTGCGTTTTTATTAAACTTAATATTGAAGAAAGTGTTATAATATGGATAATAGATGCTTTTAGTCCTTGATAACATTTAGGGCTGTAGTTTAAGCGTTGGTGTTTTAAATTAAACTTATAGCCACTGTCCAGAAAATGTTTATAGGAAACAGAAGCGGTCTTAACGTTAATATTGTCTATTCTTTTTGTGGCATTTAACCACTGTTTCCACAAATCAAAGTTTTTCGGGAATCGATTAAATTTAATGTTTTTATTTAAAGGGTTTTTCTGGGACTGGTTGTCTGAATTGCATCCAAATATGCCACACCTTATTTTTATAAATGCAAATGGTACGACACAAACTAAAACACATACAAAACAAGTTAACGCAACACAAAAACAATAATAAACAAACATAACAGGTTAACACAACGCAATAACAATAATTTAAACACTGAAAAGTAATTCGAACCTTACCGAAAGCAAAAACAACAAGTTAAACAAAAAATAGGGTTAACATCCAACAGCATCGCAAAAACAAGAATTTTAGCAGCAGATAATTAAAAAGCACGTTAAAAATTTAAAAACACTCATCAAGTGACATGTTTAAGCCCCGCCCAACATGCGCACCATCCTATCTTAAGGTGTATGTATCTTGGTGGGATAGTAAAGCAGTTAGAGGAGGGGAAGTAAAACATTGGCGGACGTTTAATTGTTTTGATTTAATCGTTTTAAAATCTTGTACTGCACGCTTATGGCAGAGGGGAAATAAGTATTTCGTTATCCTATTCGTTCAACAATGGTTGTTTGTCTCTCTTATTTATACGTTTATCTCACTTATTCGTATTTCATATAGCATGCATCTTTGTTTATTAAACGGCCTAAAAGCCCATTACCATCCCTGTATATCTGATCACAAAGCGCAACAAGTGGATATTTTTATGCCACACGTTCCTGCAACAAATGCACTGAAAAAAATATGCAGACCCATAACAATGGAGGGTAAATTCCTTTTTTATTCGGAATTATCTAATACAAATTGGGATTTTATTAAATGCAATCATCTAGATGTAAACACTAAAGTAAATATCTTTTTAGATATTTAATCTAAAGAATTTGAAAAAGCTTTTCCTATATTAATTTTTAAGTTTTCTGTTAAATCCTTCTGTTTAATCTTTCAATAAACGTTATTATTATTATTATTATTTTATTATTATTATTAAAAAAACTTTTAGGGTTAAACATAATAAATTAAATAACATAGTATGGTTTACAAAATCATTAAGAGAGATGAAAAGTCACCTGGACTTGTTCAATAAATTGTTGTGTACGGTCATAAAGATTTTAGAATTGCTAGAAACAAATACAAAATTAAATATCACAACGCAATTAAAACTGCGAAAATTAAAGCAAACGATAATTACATACAAAAATCCAATAACAATGGTAAGAGTTTGTGGAATGTTATAAATTCTTATAAAGTAGTTAAAGAACCTGAGGTGTCTTACATAAATCCCAATAGTTTTAATGAATACTTTAATG